TGTCCTTGTTGGATTCTGAGGATATTCGTATACGACCATGGCTTGAGAAGATTGGTTTTGAAAAGTGGGCCAAATGCATGTCTGGTCCTAGGAGATATGATGTCATGACTTCCAACTGTGCTGAATCTATGAACAACGTCAATGTCTCTGCAAGGGGGTATTCTGTATCAAAACTTGTTGATTTCTTGAGGGAAAGAATGCAGCAATGGTTTTCTGAAAGGAAGGAAATTGCTAAGAAAACACGTACATTTTTTGCTCCCACACGCAGGGGCATAGCCAGGGGAGGGCCAACCCTGACCCTGGCCCAGCCCAAATTTAAAAAATGTCCATATTTTTAGTGTAAAAAATTCTGTGTAAAATTTTTTCCAAATATATTCTTTGTACTGGCCCAGTCTGACCCAGTGCTCTGGTTCCGTCCCTGCCCACACGTGAGAAGCATTTGGTTGCCCTTCAAGGACAAGCTTGCAGGATGCAGGTAACTCAATGTGTGCTAAATTCGTATACATTTATTCGCAAGAAATATGCATTTTATTTTAATTTTTTTCCAGAGCTATTGTATTGTATAGTTGGCAAAATATCCAAAAATATGGCATTTGTTTACGACCGAAATCCCTCTTCCATGTTTCCCAGACCTTATTCCCCAAACCATTTCTGTGAATATCCATCATTTAACTTTATTATTTTTTATCATATTTAAAAACAACATCAGGTGAAGCCAACATCTTATACAGAATTTGAGGTGGTTGATAGACATTGTCGGTCATTTATAGTTGATCTGAATTCTAAGACATGCAGTTGTGAGGTCTTTCAATTGTCTCATTTCGTTTGTGTGGATGCTATTGCTGCTATTGGTACCAGGCCAGCCATGTCATGCTATGATTATATATCTAAATACTACACCCAAGATTACTAGTTAGTTGTCTACCTGGAGTGGCGTTATGCACCCTATCTGTGATGTGGAGTCTTGGTCGGTTCCTCCTGATATTTTGAATGTTCGTTGCAAGCCACCTTCGTGTCAAAAAAGACCACCCGGTCGTCCCAAAAAGTCAAGAATTCCATCAATTGGTGAACATCGCCGTACGAATCATCAAAAATGTTCCCGCTGTCATGCTATTGGTCACAACAAAAAAACGTGCCGCAATCCACTGCCCATATCAAATGACTGATGTTTTTTAGTTTTCTTCTTTAAGACTTTTTAATTATGGTTTCATCGTTTTGAAATGTCCGTGTTGATTACATAAATTTGTGCATAATTTAGAACCACTAGTTTGCTCAATTCATGTATTTGGATTACATGATATTTTTATTTCCTTTCTACGATTCAGTGTTTTGCACTTTTGTTGATGAATATCATATTTTCAATTCCACCAATGTTTATGTCATTTTTTCATCTTTATTTGTGCCATACAACCCACAAATCGGGCCTTTTTTTAATTGCATGTCAACAAATCAATGTTGACATTATTACACTTCATCCATATATGCCATTGTTTTGGCATTACACACCAAATAAACACAATTGATGTGTATAACAAATGTATTAGTCACAATTTGTTTAATGCCAATAAAAAAATATACATTGTACAATGTTGATCTCAACAAATCAATGAGACATTCCATATTGTAGTATAACATTCAGCCACAAAAGGCATTTTAACTTATATTGAATGGCAAAAAGACTACGTTTGGAGACGTCTTTTGTAGAAACTTTTTCATTCTGATTTAATTGCAAACAACTACACCTAAAATTTAAATCCAACACATAACTCAAAGTGTCAAGGACATACTACACCATTATGCAAAGCACTCAGTCAACATTGTAAGCAAAACATCAAACATTAAACGCAAGTATTCAAAAAACAACATTTCATTCAAGTTTCAAATGCAACTCCTCAGTCACTCCTTCTGTTTTTTGCCTTCCTCCATCCTCTTGTTGTAATACATAACTAACTCTGTGGCCATCTTTTTACTATACATGGGCATGTCCTTTGACTTGATCTCTTTAATATCTAGTCCCATCATCAAAAACTCGGCAATCTTCAATACGTACATGCCACAGTTCCCCCAACAATAATGAAGCAACAATACGAATTAAATCATTTTGTATTACATATTAATATTCCAATTATGACATTTTTCTGAAAAATACTATACACGGCAGATTTTACCCGTCTTTTTGCTGTGGGCAATCCTCGGCAGGCTCCAACTCTAACACTTCGTTATCCATACGCTCATACCCAATTTCATCATAAACACTATGCACGTCCATGATTTTTGGCAGCAACCACTATATGCTCTCTACAAACGGTCTAATGTCTTTTAAACTATCAACCCTTCTGTTCTTGGAGTTGTAAACTCGTATCTTTCTTTTTTTAACTTCCAAAACAAGTAACACCCAGTGGTTGCTATTGTTAAGAGGGAGGTATACGAACTCAGATTCTGCCCAACTCCTAGAGAATGGTGAAACGCTGCCTTGAATTTCATCTTCAATCATTGCAATGTTCGTTGCTTCTATAATCGTCGTGTCACCTTTACTAACTTCTCTTCTCTTAACAGAAACATTATCATATTTCTCTTCATTTCTCACTTCGCAACCTCTATCCTCGTGTTCCTTTTCCAATGAAACCTGCTTTTCTACTTCTTTAGTCCTCTCAAACACATTTTCTTCACTTCCATCTTCTACTTGCGCTTCCTGGAATTTTTCTTGTGTTTGTGGACCAAATAGTTTATAATTTGGCATGGTACTCATCACTGCACCATCATCTCCTTCACCTGCGGTTCGCTCTGCTTCATTCTGTTGACCTCCTTGTGCTACTTCATCATCTTCTTGTGTATTTTCTTTTTCTTTGCTTTCCTCTCTAACCCCTTCAGTCTCTGCCTCATCCTTCCTGTTCATGGCCTCCAACAACCGCTTAAGCATCACCTCCTGCCTCTTTTGGGTTTTCCTCACTTCTTTTAATTCTGCCATAATCTTGGCATCCTCCTTGCTAAGTTTCCTAAAAATTCTTAGTGTCAAATTAGTCTTTCTGGCAGTTCCAAACCCCGCTTTACCACCACTATCATCCCCCTCCTCATCCTCCTCCTCTTCATCCTCAGTTTTCATTTTTTCTTCCAATGTTTTCTATTTTCTCAAATACCTTCACCCCATCAACCCTATAGCCACCATCAATTCCAGGATTACTACTCCTCTCAGAACTTGTCATTTCTTTACATAATAATATTGGAAAATTTTCACATTCGACATTTGTAGGCTCCATCCTTTTTCATTCAAACCGCAAAATAACAACATAAAATTAAAAAATTATAATTTAAATGCAAACACCAGCTATTCAGATTCCTACCTAGTAATTAACAACTAAATGATATGTATTACCTGTTCATTCTTGAAAATGATTTTGCTAAGAACTTCCAGTGATGGTTTTTTTGCAAATTCCCACTTCACTGCCCTTGGTATGCGAGTCTCTCACCCTTCAATCAAACTGCATATATCTGCTTTTGTCAGTCCTGTGAAGGTTTCAATTGCTCAAACTTGTATGGTTATTAAACATCCTGGCAGTGTGACGCATTGCCCTTTATATTTCTTTAAACTCTTTGCATTGGTCCTCATGTTATCCACCAACTCAGCCCAGACATCATCCCCCACGGATATTCATTGAATTCATCCAAGTTTTCTACCAAATTCACATACATGGGTGTAATTCTCTTGCCACCTGGTTCCCAAACAAACCATGTGAGAGTACATGGAGCAATGCAAGCTTCACACCATCATTTTGCTCTGTTTCAGGATCTTCGCTATTGTAATTCATTAAAGCATTTTGACAATCACTTCTTCTCACCCCTGATGTGTTGCCAAAATACTTTCTCCAGAACGTTCCCCGCAAATTCTCTTCTACAATGGGTTTCACTCCACCAAATTTAAAACCCAGAGCCATGCACAGATCATTTTTCATGAAAGTAACTAGGTTATTTTCAATATGAAAATGAATGCCATTTACATCTTTCCTCCCATTCACCCTTTTAACATAGTTGCACAGAAAGCCAAGTTGAAGCTGCCCGCTAATTGTACGCATCTCTTCCACATCCAACACCCAACCGAATGCACTCCTCCTTAATTCCACTAATTCTTCAGATTTAAGTTGTTTTTTATCCTCTTCACAACCTCACTCAAACTGCAGTAGCAATTTATCCTCACGCTTTATACATTTTGCAGTTGATTCTTTTCAAATGCTCTCTGTATCACCTAAATAAGCACAAAACCATACATTTCACACATCACTTTTACAGTACTCTTATTATTATACCTAATATAATGTGCACATGTGCAAGATAAATGTCAGATGTTCAACGGCATTGATGTGAACAACATACTTCCTGCCATTTATCGCTGAATACCGTACAATGGTTTTGTCATTTCTTCCAACAACCTACTTCCTGCCATTTCTGCCATTCTTAATGTCTAACTTCCAAGCTTCATCCATACCACCAGTTCTTAAATTCTGACATATTCACCTAGTTTAGTTTCCAAATTGTATCCAATATCAATTACAAGCACACTACACACTACCTTTTTAAGTCTAAAACTCCTATCAAATTTTTCCACTGATTTCATCATTGATTTGTCCATTCTTCCAACACCACACTTACTGCCATTTATGCAATTTAAACTTCCAATCCATTTAAGCCATCTAACGTTGTCAACATAACTACACTCTGCCATTTTTTCCTTCTTTCACTTTCCAAGTTATTGGCAATATGAAATCCCACCAAATTCCACCCCCTAACTTCAACAATTTCCCATTCTGGACTACCTATGCATTTATGAAGACACCATATTGTTTCACAATAATTACTAATTCATCGCAAATAGTACGGCAAACTAGGACCAAATATTTAACATTACAAAACAATTAATTGTAAAATATGACATTCTATTGCATTCGTTTCATCTGCAAAACCATAATCACAAATTGTACTAAAAACTAGGAACAAATTCTTCCACCTTTTCGTTCAAAACTTCTGTACATATGGCATTTTATTCCTTATTTTGCTCACAATTCCAATTGCAAGGCGATACAAACCAAAATCTCAATATTGAATGTTCACAAGTAGAAAATACAAGGTCTGCTTTCTGTCGCTGTCTCTGTCGTCCACGAGTCTGCTTCGCAACGTCGTCACCGGCCATCGTCGCACTTCTACTACTTCCCTTGTTTTCGTCTTCCACCGTTCAGGCTTCAGTTCTCCGCATGCAAATTGAAATTTGCAGATGGCAGAACACGCTTGAGTAAATCGGGTAGTTGCCTTTGCAACTTGATTGGCGAGCCTTGCGCCGGAAAAATCTTCCATAATTATTGCCGCACCTCGGTTTCCTATCTTTTCGGCCTCTCTCCTATCCCGATGCCGCCCGGATTTTTCGAAAATTTCCGTCGGTTGAACAACCGATTAATTTTATGCGGAAGTTAAAATTGGAAAATCAAGACCTTTTAAGTCCTATGAAACATGACTCACATTTGGAGTCCTATTTGTGCATAAAAAAGTGCTTTTAGTCCTACTTAGGTAAAAAAACTCTTTAATGCATGGGCTCAATTGAGTGTCTTTTATAAGGATGCCTATTTAGATAATTGTCTCTAATTGTAGTAGAGGGCAAGAACCTTCTTAAGAAGTCCAAATGGCTTCGGTTAGAAAGAGCAATATAAATGAAATAGAGAAAAGTGTCAAATTGGCCCTCGTACTCTGTACGGAAAATCAATTATGTCCTCATATTTTAAGTTTCATCAATTAAGTCCTCCTACTTTGACATTTTCGTCAAAAACGACTTTTAGCAGGTAATCCGTTCAATCAGCAGGTTACCTGCTGATGTGGCACAAATGTGGCGCACACGTGGCCTGACACCGAGCACGTGTGGCGGTCAAGTCAACTTTTTTCCCTTTTCCTTCTTCTCTCTTTTTGTTTTCTTTCTTTTTTCTTTTCTTCTTTCTCCTTCCCCACCCCCCTTCCCTTCGTCTGCGCAGACCCATTTCTTTCCCCCATTTTCTTTCTTCGTTTCTTTTGGTTTTCCTTTTCTTCATTTAGGTGCTTCTCTTTCTCTGTTCATGTTCGTGCAGAAGAAACAAGGACGAGATCTAGTGCAGCACCACAATTCGATTCCAGAAGCGATGTTCGCCGGAGTTCGTTCCAGAGCAGCCGGGGAGTTCAATTCGACCCTAAAACAGAAGCAGCAGTTCGCGACTTCGCTCCCTCTCTGAAGCTCATTCCAGAGCATCACCGAAGTTCGATTCGATCGGAAAATAGAAGTGACGATTCGCCGGAGTTCGTTCAAGAGCAACACAGGAAACGGTTCACGATTTTTGAGATTAAATTCGAGTTCTTTGGCTAGAAAGGAGTCTCCATATAAAGTTTGAGCAACTGGGGATGAGTTTTGGGGGCTGATTTGTAGCTCGCCGGGACTTCTTTTGGGACTCTTCCGGCATTTTATCCTGCGATTATGAGGCTCATCGCAAAAAAAATGCAAAAGAGGTCACCGCGCACCTAGTCATATTTTTAGGGGAAAATGTCCAAAAATGACACTGTTGGTTTTAATGAAGTTCAGATTGGACACTAAAGTTTTATGTAGACCAAATAAACACAAATTTAAACTTTTTAAATCCATTTTAGCTGCCCTTTAACATCCCCTTTAGATGACCCTTCTCTATCGTTAAACAACACAACCCCAATCTATGAAAACTAAGTTTGTGTAGAGAATTGGAAGCCTTCTGTACGTTTGAACGGCGAACTAGGACCAAATTAAGGATGGGGTCTCAGTAGCCTTCTGTTTACCGGAGTATGAAGAATCGTAGGGCTGCTGTTGAGATCAATTTCTGACGATGGTCTGCAGCAATTTTCATCCGGTGATGAGCGGCAGAGAGATGTTGGTGTTATCGGCGGGTGTTGATGTTCGTTTGTTGCGTCAGATCCCGAGGCTACCGGATCATTGTGAAGAATAGTGGGCCGTTGTCCCTGTTTCTTTGCCGGACTGATTGTGCCGTTTGTTGGAGAGAAAGAAATCTGCGGTTGAAATTCAGAGGAGTCTTCGTCTCCGTTGTCGGTGCTCGTTCGCCAGAGGATAAAGCTGATCGGTGAGCTGCTTCCGAAGCTGTACATCACTGGTCCCGTCGGAAACGGCGTGGGAGAAGATGCTAGTGCTGACTTTTTGTTGTTGGCGCCATTTGTTGGAGCTGCTCGTTTGCTGATTCAGTATCGAAGTAGGAGCTCGATCTATCATTTTTGCTGCTGATTTGATTTGAAGTAATGTTTCTGTTCACCGCAGAAGATGTGTGCCGTTTGCTGCACATGGGAGAACCGGAGAAGAAGAGTCGAATCGACTGGTTCTGATTTCTGATGGGAGGAATGGGAGCAAGCGAGATGAAGTCCATTGCTAATCTCTTTCGGTGCTGCTTTCTAACGGCATCAATCGGAACAAAATAACGGAGCAGTTAAGGGTGACTTAAATGGATTCAAAAAGTTTAAATTTGGGTTTATTTGATCTTCTTAAAACTTTAGTGTTCAATCTGAACTTCATTAAAAACCTTAGTGTCATTTTTGGACCTTTTCCCTATTTTTAGTTTAATTTTCCAAGCATCCTCCATTTTTGCGGCAACCGTTCATGCGGTGAATCTTTCACAAACGGGAGAAGAAGAATGGTGGCCATGGAAGAGAATGAAAGAAAAAAGAAAAGGGAACGGAAGAAGAAAGGGAAAGGGAAAAAAATGGAAAAAGAAAAGAAAAATTGATGTGGCACGCCACACGTGCGTTGTGTCAGGCCACATGTACGTCATATAAGCAGGTAACCTGCTTACTGGTCGGTTTGACGGATATCATAAAGTACGAGGACTAAATTGACGACATTATATGTACGGGAGCTGAATTGACTTTTCGTATAGAATATGAGGGCCAATTTGACACGTTTCTCAATGAAATAATATAAAAAGAAAAGTCATCATCATGAAAGATGAAAATAAAGGGTGGCAACCGGAAATACTTCATGTCTACTAGATGAAGTCATGAAACTGCTTAATGAGATTAGTGACACTTTGCACTTACCAGACTAAAGGCATCTTAACGTTCCATTTCTAGAATTTAGCCCTTGGAAAATGCTAAGTGTACATATGATGTACACAAAGTGTACACAATATAAAAGGCCTCAAAAAAATCTCATTTCCTTCTCTCCCTTCTCTCTATTCTCTTTTCCCCTCTCCCTTCTCTCTTTCCTCCATTAGAATATATCAAAAAAAAATGAGAGACCATCATCCCTTCGTTCATTCTCTTTTTCTCTACCTTTTTATATCAATTTTTCTATATTATTTGCACAAAATCAGCTTATTCATCTTATTCCATCTATTTTTATTAATTTTTTATTTTTTTCAAATTACATGTAAATTTATCACACATACAACCACATCATTCATTTGGATATATATAGACAATTAATTTTTTTGTTCACCTAGACAATTGAAATTGATCACACCGACAACAAAAGTTGATCACACAGACAACTATTGTCTGTGAGACGCACAATTATTGTCTGTGTGGTAAATATTGTCTGTGCACACAGACAAATAATTGTCTGTGCAACATGAAAATATTGTCTGTGCAACATGAAAATATTGTCTGTGCACACAGGCACTGCAGTTATATTGTATAATTTACAAGCTATTGTCAGTGTCAGACGGCTGTCAGTCTATTTTCTACTAAAAGATACTCCGTATTATTTTTTAGATCAATTAAATATCATTCTTGCAAAGAAATTATTTGGTCATTTATTTACATCAACATAAAACAAGGATGGGTGCAAAGTTTTCACATCATATCAGTCATTTGACCTTTTCAACATAAAACTTACATGAAGTTCAGAGGTTAAATGTGATTTATCCGATCATACATCTTTGCACAACACTTGTCCATCTACACTACAACCATAGCTTTGCATCAAGTAAGAAATGCACCATTAGTGACTCCTTGCAAAGTAAGTAAAAAATCTATTGAAATGTACTTATCCCTCTGTTATACCATCTAAATTTTGCTTAGAAAACTCAGCATAACCACAGGTGCTCCATTATCAAATAAAGATATTGCCGGCTGTTAAGAGCTAGTTCAATAATAAAAGTTGATTCAAAGTTGTTATAGAAAAAGTTAATCACAAAAAGTCAGTCCTAAACAGTACCAGGCCTGATTTTGAACCGATCTGGAACCGCTACCGGCGGAACAGGTCCATAACTAGGCCCAACACAGTATGTACATTCTGGCTATGCCAGTGGGTGAGGTGTAAGTCAAATGGTCAAAACAACTAATCTTTCAATTACCAAAAGTCTTAAACAATACCCTCTTTTGTGGAAGAACTTAGATAACCTCACTATCGCATATGGGTTATATGGGCAAATTGGCAAATCATATACAACATTCAAATAAACGATGAAGCATCCAAGGGAAGAATACATATATATCAGGAGAAAATTGTAACAGGACTCTTTTAAACAAAACTTGTGTCTTGTGCTCCATTATTTTGAAGGTCAGTAAACGTCATAAGTGAAAAAGCTAAGGCAAAGTTTGGGGGTGTTATTAAACTCATCTGTTACTTCCTCTGTAAATAAATATACACCCATTGTTTGCATTAGCGTTCTTGTGGTTTTCCAAGAAACCCAAATGTAAAAATGGAGTCATCAAGAAATAAAATTACAAAGATGGCCTTCTCTAACAACACATCTCATTCCCACTCCCCAGAAGTGATTGAAAACCTCATCCATTGTTGCTATCAAAATCGCTATTACTGCTTTGCTGTCTCTTTTCTCGAAACTTCTCACCCCACATTTTAGCCTCTGCCACAGCTCGTTCTCTTTCTATATCCTTGTTTAACTTCCTTACAGTTTCCCTCGGGGAATCTTCCTTCTCGGATCCATCCAAGTCCCATTTCCGGCCTGATCCGGCTCCCAGGCTATCTTCGTTCCTTAATATTCTCGAACCTCTCTTTTCATCCTTACTATCAGAAGAAAGCTTGTTACAAGGGGGAGTAGTAGCACTAGGATCATATGTTTGGTTGGCCAAGTAGGATAGGGCAGTGACGACATCTCCGATCAGAGGACGAGCTGCGGCCTGTTCTTGGATACACATGGATGCCACAGCTAGTGCCTGGTAAAGGCTTCTCATTGGAAAATGACCTTGTAGCCTTGGATCAGCTAGTTTTGCGAATTTCCGGCGATCATTGAACAGTGGTCGTGCCTGCATTTTAACAATTCAGATTTTTTGCAACCCATGTCGAATTGTACAAAAGAAAACGTTGCACTTTTGGTCTACGTTTAATAGGCCATTTTCTACTTTTGGTACCTAACTTTCATTTTTCTACTTTCGGTTCCATGACTATATTTTCTATCACCTATGGTCCTTCCGGCCATATATCCAGTCATTTTTTTACAATTTCTGGTTGGTTTTGCTGGATAAGAGGTAGTAAAGTACCAAAAGTGGCAAAAACAGTTAAGCACAAAGAAGTAAAAGAGTAAACATTGATTCTTTTACAAAATCACCCTTGATGTTTTTGAATATTGCAAATAAGCCCCTTAAGCAGCCAGACTCTTCACAGTGGCACTGGATGATGATGTATAATTATACTAGTAGGATTGGATTTTTTTTCCAGACTAAAGTACAACCTCAACATTTGTCTAAAAGATTCTTTTTACCAGATAAAATGTGTTGAACAAAACACGTGTAACCAGCACATTCATGGTTCTGGTTAATATCATTATCATTATAGTATATGACCTTTTAATGTCAAGAGGGTTTTTAAAGGAAAATATGATTGGTCAAGGGGCTAAGTTTTACCATTATGAAACTTCAAGGGTGATTTGGTGATTCCAATTAAGGATGTTTTTACTTGGACTCTAATTTGATGGTCTGGTCGGGTCTGAACTGGTCTGGGAGGAATTACAGTCCAAGTAAAAACATCCTAACTCCAGGAGAGATAAAATTAATTAATCCGAGAAGATGACGATGAAAATAAGTGCAGGGGGAGGGTATACCCATGCAACAAGGTTCTGCTGCCCTTGAGGTTGGGTACTGTCAATGGCCTTACGTCCAGTGATAAGCTCTAAGAAGACGACACCAAAACTATAGACATCAGATTTTACGGTCAACTGTCCTGTCATGGCATATTCTGGGGCACAATAGCCGTAGGTCCCCATGACCCTTGTTGACACATGTGACTTATCACCAGTAGGGCCAAGCTTCGCTAGCCCAAAATCAGAAAGCTTTGGGGTAAACCCTTCGTCTAGCAATATGTTTGATGACTTGAAATCCCTATATATTACTGGAGGGTTGGCTTTATCATGAAGATGCTCCAAGCCTTTGGCAGCCCCGGCTGCTATTTTCATTCTTGTGTTCCAATCCAATGGTTCTTTATCTGGTGGTAAATCTGCAATGTAAGGTCTCAAGTTATCTCTGCGATTACTTGAAAAATACTCACAGGCATGTCATTAGAATGTGTGGTAATATCTAGATAAGAAACAGCTGAGATAATTAGCTTTCACAGTGTTCTTTTCAAACTAACTACAAATTTGTTCTTCCTCAAATATGGCAAAGTGTTGTAACTTGTAACCCAGCTTCACTCATCTTTTCAACAAGAACACTCCAATTTGGATATATCTAATTGGTTGACATTAATATTCATTTGAGAAGTAGAAATTACATGTTTATTTAGTAACATTTACTGTTTTGTACTTTTGGTTGATTCTTTTTTTATATTCTGTTTTTATTTACGGAAAAATATAAAACATGTTTGGTAGATGTGTAGATCTGTTCCGAAAATATTATTTAATAGAATAAAAAACAAAATCTTTTATAAAATCTCTAAATAATTTATAGTGTCCAAATTGGATGTGTTTACGAAAGACGATAAAATAAAGAACAAAAAGGGAACCTTTTCCCCATGAGTTGTGAACAAATACACAACCATCAAACATATTTCTTTATTTATGTTTTCAGACAAGTAAAAACAAAACGAAAAAGAAAAGAAAAGAGTTGCCAAACAACACCTAAGAATTAGTTCTTTCTGTTTTCTACCTTCATGGAGTTGAAACTCACAATGAAACTGCAACCAAAATATAATTGCAACTCTTATATCTGAAGTGTATCTTTAGTTTTATTCGTTTCTGTAACTGTCACTCCGTAATCCGTATTATTAAAAAAATGCCCATTAAAATAAATGCATTTATGCATGTAATCATATAGCTAGAATGAAGGGTATAGTAATATGATTTACCATGAAGGTGATCTTCCAATGATCCCAAGGCCATGAATTCATAGACAAGAAGCCTCTGGTCACCATCTGCACAGTATCCAATCAAGTTAACCAAATTAGGATGGTGGAGAAGGCTTAGCATAAGTACTTCTACAAGAAACTCTCTATTCCCTTGAAGCCCATTCCTATCCAATTGCTTAACAGCCACAGCCTGCATCCCATTACAATACATTAGACCATAATCAAAACTCATCCAAAGCAAAATATCAATGAAAGATGGTGGGCAGTGATGAAATCAAGAGGAATGAGCTGACTAGCACCAAGCTTGAAAAGTTCAACAGTTTGAATAAGAATGTTTAGTCATGCAGGCACACACACACACACACATATATATATATATATATATATATATATATATATATAGTTTTTAGATTTCTTCTCATTTTCCTTTCCTTCCAAATCTCCCATATATTTTCCTCCCTATTTTCTTTATATAACATTTTCCGGATTCCAGACACTTCCTACAAAACACAGATGATGGGCGGGGATGAAATCAAGAGAGAGGAGCTGACTTGCACCATTCTTGAAAACTTTCAAAATTTAATTAAAATGCTAATTCATGCACAGTCGCACAGACACACACATAAGTATATAACTTTTAAATTTTTCTTCAGTTTTATTCTCTTCATATTTATTCTCAACATTTTCAAGATTCCAAAAGGATCCTACAGAAGGTCAAGAGAAAGGAGCTAACTTGCACCTCTTAAGAGCTTCAAGATTTGAATAAAACTGCTAACTCATGTACACAAGCATATATAAATACTAGTATGATAAAAGGTATAATGAAATAACAAAAATTGCCTGGCCATTAGCGAGTCTCCCTTTATATACACGTCCAAATCCACCTTCTCCTATGAAAGATTCAGGCCTGAAGTTACTTGTGGCAGCTGCAAGCTCACGAAAAGTGAACGTATGTGCTGCGATTTGAGCACCAGGTAAATCCTTCAAGCCTGAAGGCTCTCTCTTCAAGCTAGCACTACTTCTTGATTTTAATCTGTCTGCTCCTGTTAATAATAAAACCATACCAAAATCAGGTTTCAAAAATCTCAATTAGATAACCAAAAGTAGAAAGATGGTGTTTTCTCCAATGCAGTAAATAATGGTCTTTTTTCCTGATCTAGTTGTCTATGGAAATCATAATGGACTGGATTGAGCTTAAACCATATTTATAAAAAAAGCAATGTAAGAATCAAACAATTGACATTCTCTCAGATTTCATTCATAGCAGCATCAAGATTTCAATAAACTAAACTTCCCAAGATCCCATCTTTAAGGACATTAAAGAGATGGAAAGAGCTAAATGCAAAGTTATATTCAATGTCTATCATAGCATCCACAAGTTCAATTAAAACAACTTAGAACATAAGCCAGTGAATGAATCTCGTATAAGAAATAAACTCAAATCTATATTAAACCCATGAGAATGGTTCTTGAGAAAAGCAGCAGAACCTGAAGATAATCTGGACATGTGAGATGGAACAGTTGGATGAACTTCATTGGGATCATCCCTTCTTTTGTTCAGCGTCTCCTCCTCTTTCGAATCAAAACAAGGGAAGCAACCCATGCGATTCCCTCAAAGATTAAAACTTTACAAAACCCACTTTCCTAAAATATGTCAGATTAACTCAAAGAGCAATCCAGTTGACAACTTCTACATCTCAATCCCAAGAAACATAAAGCAATTAACTTAATGCGTCTACAGAATCTGGATCTTTGTGCACCAATCGACCAATCTGGGCACCCGTCTTCCTGATCAGCGCAGAGGAGACACATACAATTTACAAACACTCAAAGAGCAGCAGCAAGAAGGATTCGGGAAAGGCTTTTTTAGCTATTTTGCAAGAATATCAAAGTGAACACACCAAACGAATGAAAGATAGTGTTTTTGCGACAGAGTTGTGCCCGGCTTTGTTGCGTCTTTCCAATACAATCTCTGCCCTCCACCCCCACCCACCTGGCTATGGAAATGTACACATATTTGACGTGTGAAATACGGAGTATGAACGCGTATAACTGTACAACAAGTATACGATCACAAAGTCTACATTTATACGTACTTATAGGTATTACTACCCCACCCCTCATCCGCCCCTAAACGAGTCCACGGCTCTTTGACTAGCAGTTATTATCACCTAATCTGGAAAATATTTTCAGTAATTAGGACTCCGTAGTAGTTAATTCGTTATTGCTGTGAATATCTGATTGAGTAATTGTCAAAAAAAAATACAACTTTTTTGCAGACTTGTAATTTTTTTGTTACTTTGACATTGTAATCTTTGTGGATGGTGGCTTAGTACAACATTTTTCTATTTGGAATGGCTTATCTGGTGATGGTAATTCTAATCATAGTCCGTTTGATTACATCAAAATTGACTGAATCACTAATTATGCTGAAATTTATGAAGTTTCGCCTAAAGTGATTAGATTGATTGATTTTACTGAAGTTTCCGCTGAATTGGCTAAATCGACTAGTTCTAAATGTCTTTATATCACCATCATCATCATCATATAGAATAATATATATATATATATATATATATATATTATATATATATATATATCCTTTCAATAATAATAATAATATATATCTGAAATTCTCATAATTTGCTAACTCTCTCCGTCGACAAATCTCTTCCGACTTGTAGTTCAGATGGGGTGAAGGGGGATCAATGAGACATATTAGAGGAGTAAAGTCTTTGGATATGGGTTACACGTGTTTTAGCTAGGCTACGTGATAATAATGATATAATAGAAATGAAAAAATAGTTTTATTTATTACGAAGCGAAAAAATATGTGATTATCTAGTAAATAAGTGGCTATCAATAAAATTTCCCTTTACGACCAACTGAAGGGGTGATAAGAATAAACATGGATGGGACGGTGGATGCTAATAGGGGAATGAGAGCTTAGGGCTGGTTAGCACGTGATGAGGAAGGCAGATTCATTCGAGGAGGTTGGGAGGCCTGTCGGGCAGATTGGTCTGCAGCAGCTACAGAAGCTGTTGGAGTAAGAGAGGCATGCCTTTGGGCTAAAGAACAAGGATGGTCTAAAGTAGAAGTTGAGACAGACGCTTTACAAGTGTTCTCACGACTGTCGGAAGATAACGGGGATTCTTATTTTGATCTTATTATTGATGACATCAGACACATACTTCAATCTGAAGCTAGTTTTTCAGTCAGGTTTTGCAGACGATCCGCGAACCGAGAAGCCCATGTACTTGCAAGGGCGGCCGTTTCCAGTGTGGGTGGTAAATTATTATTTAGTTCTATTCTGAATTGTATCTGCAGCCATGTAGCGAATGATACCTTAATTCATTAATAAAAGCTGATATTTTAATTGCAAAAAAAATCCTTTTCATTATTGCATCCTATATGTCAAATACGGAGTATGACATAACATGTACAAATAGCCTTTTTATTATTTGAAAATCATCACATAAATTTTCATACATAGAATTGTATCACATAAGAACATTAACTTTGGAAAAAAAATTCAATTCATTTTGACCATTTTCATCTCCTATAGTATGTCATTTTTTGGAAGAAAAAAGGGACAAATAGAAAATATATAACTTAAATTGAAAAAGAATCTAAAAATGTCACAATCTATAATTTTTTTGATAGATTTGAATGAGACCCATATTTATTATTATACTTAAAAATTATTAGTTTAGCATTGTTTCCCATTCACACCCAATAAATATTTAAATATAATATGTATTATTGAATCAAAGTGTGATGAGAATGGCCTCAATCATTTGCCACGTTTTCTTTCAAATATCTAGCAACCACAAACTCAATGATAATTACAATTGTGCAAAATTTTCTCCTTGCACACAAATCTTCATTTCACAACCATCTCAAACTATCGTCCTAGAATATACATAAACAAAATCCATAGTTTACCAATAGATCACATTAGATCCAAACGTATGTAAATATTATATCTTGCATTGCAACTTTCTATTATCAAGGGAAAAAAATATGTAAATTTGAGAGCATGAATCCGTCAAGAAAAAACATTAGCAACAATGAAAGTAATAGATCCAGCAGCCCTATATCGCGCTTGTTTATTACCTCCAGCATTAAGAGGACTAATTCAGACTCGCAATGTCATGATGATAATTGTTCATTGGACATTTCTATTGATAACATTGATGAAATATATCACGATGTTGATGAATTCATTGACGTCTTATCTGCCGGTGACAGGAGCGCCAATCCACCCAATGTTCCTGACATTGTCGAACAACTATGTAAAGCTGTAGAGTCCCGGATCAAAAAATATGTTTCTTGTGAAAATCAAAATAAATTTGGCAATGTGACTGAGAAGGACGTGTTCTTCATCGAAGCAATAATGCGGTTGTCAAAATTGAATAATGTATTTGATGAGTTTTCAACAAGTTTAACGGCCTCATCATGGACTAACCGGATTGGAATTGTGTTACAACAAGCAATGGCTTTCATGGAAGAAGAGGTATCTTGCTTACTTGATTGTTCTAGAAATTATAACAACTCAACAACACACAAATCATTCTCCTTGAATTCTAAGGGCGAGGACATCTCTCCTAGCGGATTGGAATCCGTTCAAGGAGAAAATTATGCAATATACTCATCAGAGATCGTTTCTTTGATTAGTCGCATATGTATCGCCATGATCACAGCTGGATATGAGAATGAATTTTGTCAAGCTTATACGATCTCACGGAGAAATTCATTTTCTGAAAAAATGAAAAAATTTGATTTCGAGAGAATTAACGTGGAAGATGTTCAAAGAATGCCATGGGACACTCTAGAGGGGGAGATAATGAGATGGATGGGAGTGGTAAAATTCTGCTCCGAGACATTTCTTCCCGGAGAACGGAGACTCGCCGACTCTATTTTCTTTGAGTGTCCATCACTATCTCAAAGCATCTCAAGCAACTTAGCTCGTCCAATGGTGATTCAGCTCATGGACTTACCGGATGCAGTGTCAATGATGAAGCGCTCAGCCGAGAAACTCTTCAAATTCCTAGACATGTATGAGACAATTCGCGATCTCATATCAACAATCAATGATTTATGTTTTGATGACAGTCTCAATGAGGTGAAATATGAGATGGTTGTTGTTAGCGATAGAATAGGGGAAACGACTGTTAGCCTTTTTCTCGACCTTGAGGAATCAATAAAAAATGATGTATCGAGGACTCCAGTCCCCGGTGGAGCAGTGCACCCTTTGACGCGCTACGTCATGAACTATCTAGAATACACCTTTGAATACAAAGACACCTTGGAGCATATATTTAAGCAACATGCTAAACCAAAATGTCAAGTCTGTGAAGAAAAGATATTACCGTCAGGTGCAGAAGTAGTGATTGGTAATAATTATGGTAATGATAATCATCATCATCATCATAATAGTAATAATAATGATGATAGTAACAATAACAATAGTGAGAATAGTAGTATTTGTTGCACAACGCCGTTCTCAATACAAATTGTTACAGTTATGGGTCTCCTAGATACAAACCTAAAAACCAGGGCAATGCTTTACAGAGATCTATCACTGCGTGACATATTCTTGATGAACAATGGTAGATACGTTCTTCAAAAAGTAAAACGGTGCAACAAGATGCATGAATTAATGGGTGATGATTGGTGTCGTAAAAGATCGGGAATTGTGAGGCAATACCACAAGAGCTATCAACGGGAAACTTGGGGAAGGGTGTTGAGGATTTTACGTCATGACGGATTACAAGTGAACGGGAAAATTGCAAAGCACGTTTTGAGAGAAAAATTCAAAAGTTTTACAAATGCATTTGACGAAATACATAGAACGCAAAGCACTTGGGTTGTCACCGATGATCAACTTCAATCAGAGCTTCGAATTTCTATATCTTCAATGGTTATTCCGGCTTACCGGTCATTTTTTGGGAGGTTTAAGCAATGTCTTGAAAATTCAAAACAAGCTGAAAAATACATCAAGTATCAACCAGAGGATATTGAGGCCTTAATTGAAGAACTATTTGAGGGAAATTCTATATCCATGGTTAGGAGGAGAATATAATGTGACATATTTATATTTGTCAATCACCCTTTGAAATTCACATCACACCCCCTCTTTTAAATTATAATGTATGTCTTTGATTTTTGTTTGTGTCATTGCTTTCTAGTGTTGAGACATTAATTATTACTACATATTTTATGGAGGAGACTACAACAAATCGGAGGCCTGAAATGTCAAACTCAACTCTTATTTGGACTTCATTGCAATATATTGTTTGTGATCTTACCCCACTTAAGGTTGTCCATTGTTTCACATTTTATAGGTTTCGATTTGACGATTTTGATTTGTGTGTGTCCGAATTTGAAAATTTCAATTCAAGAAACGAAGTCGCTAACTTAAGTCAGCTTCAATCAGCTTTGGCCATTTTTTTCGTTTTTGATCTATTCAGTCTACACTTTAAATAAAAAAAGTGTATAAACTTTTTGTTCTGGTTGTGTTATGGTCAATTTTGTTTGATTCAGTTTTTATCGAATTATTATCCGATTCCAGTTTGTCATATTTTTTGTTCAACCCCGTTAGTGAGAGTATCAAGGTGTATCAGGGCCTATAAACCTACTTGCCTTACTTCGACCAATCCCTACAGACCTACTTGTTACATATCAAGGCGTTAGTTGTGAAATTTCTATGATAATCAATCGACTATATCTAATTGACCACGTTGTTCATTATTCTAGACATGTTATAGTGTGTTTGTACTCTTACAAATATTTCTTAACACCCATCAATCTAGCCTCTAAAAATGTTTTACTCTCTGTCTCACTTTGTCTTTTCGCTCATACACATTTCTTATAAAAGAGAAAAGTGTCAAATGTGTCCTCATCCTATGTGTGGAAATTCAATTAAACTCATGTACTTTATCTTTCATCAATTACGCCTTTGAAGTATATAAATTTCATGATATTCGATTTGTGGTCATTAAGGCGCTGATTAATAGGTTACATGCTTATGCGGAGCACATACGGCCTGGCGGCGCACACATGGTGGCACAAGTCACATTTTTCTTCTTTTTCTTTCTTTTTCATTTTTTTCCTTTTCCTTTTTGTATCTTTCTTTATCTTTCCCCGTTCCCCTTTTCTTCCTTTCGAAAACCTGGAGATATACAGAAGGCAATCACAACGAGACCTAGGAGTAGGTGGTGAAAAAGGAAGATCCATTTGACGACTCTAACCCAAGTGGGACGAGAGTACGTAACGAGGAACGACTATGACCAGTGACGAGATGGATCCTCCCTAGCGACAGCTGCAGCTCAGATATGAAGTCGACGGTGATTGGGAGAGGATGATGGGACAACGCTCACATGACCTGGAACGATGACCTATTGGATCGGTGATGTTTAGTGATAGATAATGGTTACTTAACTTAAAATGGCGGTGACATCTTTGATCGACATCGTATGACTGGTTGGGTTGAGATGAAATGTCAGACGGATCTCTGCAATGTTGCTCGAGGGGGGGGGGGGGTCTCGATGATGGCTACCATAGGAGTGGTCGGTCAGTGTGGCCAATATACAATGGGTGGCCTCCAATGTTGTCACAGCAGCCTGGATGTAGGGGCGGAGCCAAGGGTGGTCAACCGACCCTAATGAAAGTTTAAGAGTATAGAGTTCTGAAATATCTTCGAATTGATATATTATGCCCCCCCCCTCCCGTAACTCATTCTGATAAAAAAGTTATGAATTCTGGAAACTCAACACTACCTAAACGTAAAATCAGCAAAATTTGATGTATACTATAGATTATTTTCCCAAATTTTAAAAAATAGGGTATAATTCACTCAATACTTACGTGACACGATTCAGAAATAGAGCAAAGATAATTTATCTTATTGTTACGAGTGCCTATCTATCTAAACTGTTTATGAAATATTCAACTCGGACATTGTTTAAAAACGATACACCATTTTCATTCTGTATATAGGTTGACTTTTGACCCCCCCCTCCCGAGCCATTTTTTGGCTCCACCACTACCTGGATGGCTTCAATCAAGACATCAGGTTGGATTCTTAGCTTGGCTAGAGGAGGTTGATCCACTTGAATGTAACTATCATTGGAGTCAATGGGTTTGACTTTTGACTGGATTTTTACAGACGTGCATTCTGTTGTGTCTAACCCAATAACCAATGTGTTACCCATAAAAGTCGGATTTGATGAAAATTACATACTTGGAGGACGTAAAAGATTAAGTACGGATGATTAATTGACTCTCCATACATTGTATAAGTGCATATTTGACACTTTTCTCTTTAAAAAATGAAATCTTTTATTGCTACTTAGATAAAAAACATTATGCATTGCATAGTTGTTTAAAATATGGGAAAATTATTCTATATATCCTACTATCGGTATATACTAGTTGCAAATATGGAAAACAAAATACAAATACACTAGGAAATTAGTAAAAAAACGGAGTTGACGGAACACTACACAAGTCACTTTTTAGTGCACACTAACAAAAAATACAAAACAAATATGATTCAGCCGTGTTTATTTTATTTTAATTACTTGAGAAATGGTTCATTTTAGATGTTATAAGAAAAGTAAATAATATTAAAATCTGATAAATTTTTTAAAAAATGTCTTTTTTGCAATAAAAGAGACTATTTAATGGGATGAAATACCACAAATTATACCGTGCATCCGGATGTACGGTCCTCACCGTACATCCGGGTATTTTTGCAATTAATTACAACTCTAATTGTAAAGGTCTTCCGTGTTGTGCTGCTCATTGATGTCCTGAGAGTTGGAGGCGTCGATCGATGTTGCTCGCTTGCTCAAGTCTTGGAGTTCCGATGGATGCTGTTCACCCGCTGCTCTCCTGGAGTTCCGCTCAAGGAATAATAGAAAGAACACCAAAAGAACTCCCATTGGAGTTCTGGGAGTTGTCTACGCTGCTCAAAGTCTTGAATTGCGCTTCATATTTTAGTTATGAAATCCCAAAAGACAAATTACAACTTCTAATTTAATATTGTATTTTAATACTCCGTTCTGGGAGTATTATATTTTAACATCGTGTGTTAATATTTTACAACTTCTCATTTTGTAATTTATGTGTGCTCATATGAAATTGGTATAATACTCATTTTAAAACGACATATTCATGCATCTCTCAAACATATTATACTACATTAGATTCACATTAAAAATGAGTTTTATGTTAAATTAAAATGAGTATAACGTCCAAAATGAATGAGCACACAAAAATGCGTTTTTAATATTTTTGATACTTATTTGGTAAGTTATGTATGCTCATTTGGTAGTAATGGTATGCTCATTTTAAAATGCCATATCAATAATGCATATTTTAAAATTATTATACTACATTAAATTCGCAGATGCTCAATAAAATAGGTCAGATGCTCATTAAAAGTATATTATTGCCACCGATTTTTTTTGGCCTGAATCAGTTACTGGGCTATCTCCCTTAGTTGGGCCGAGTGTACGTACACCCGGATGTACCATATAGGCACTGATAAAATACGGAGTAATGGATTATATGGAAAATTTCCAAATAGAAGCAAAAATGTTTGACAATTTCAAAATAAGAATGTTATTACCTCTATCTCCCTATTAGTGTACCATTGTGGTTTATGATGTTTGACCAACGATAAAACAACCGGATCCCTGTTGGCACTCAAATTAGTTTTAGAAAAAAATTACATATTCAGAAACTACATTAAAAGCTTTACAAAGTCACAAAAATCAGAATCAAATTTGAACAAAATTGATATATATATAAAGTAAGTGATTAGTGTTGACAAAGTGAATAGAAATCGAGACAATAATAGAGAGACGGAGAGAGTGTTTTTTTAACAGGAGTAACATGACGGTATTTATCGTCATTCAGTCATTACTGTCAAAATAGTTACAGTATTACGCATTGACATGGTAGTATTTAGTGTCATTAATTAATGAGAGTATTTCTCAAACATAACACTAACAATTCCTAATTTGGAAAGAAAAACACAATAAACACATTTTGAGCACATTCCTAACGGCTTTTAGTTTTTGGATGTTTAAAGGTAATTTCTCTAAAATATATAACTCTTTTAAGCACATTCCTAACAACTTTTAGTTTTCAGATGTTTAAATTTAAACAAAATCACTTGTTTAAATATACTAATTTGCTAAAGGGTCAAATAGCCTCATGTACGGGTCGTGTAAGCTCAATTTAATCCGTGTTTTAAAAAAGGTTCACTTCGCACATCGAACTGGCAAAAAATGGTTCAAATTTCATTTTTCACAGGTAAACAACTGGTCATTTTTTTAATTTTTGTATTATTTCTGTTTTTTATTTTTGATTTATTGCAATTTTGACACTTTTTAATAGTTTAAGTGTGGAATTGGACTTTTTTACCGGTTATTTCCACGTAAAAAATGAAATTTGAACCATTTTTTATCGGTTTGAGGTGAGAATTGAATCTTTTTTTAAAATACAGACGGAATTGAATTTAAATGATCGGTACAAAAACCTATTCGACCCTTTAGCCATACTAATTTTATAATAAAAAAGCAACAATCTTCCATTGGAACATAAGGCATTATTCGAGAGTATATTCGGGAATCGGAAGTAATAATGTACAAGAGGCTTGACCAGTTTAGGGCACACTCAAAAAAATTCAGCACCGTGCACTACTTTACCAACTCTTTTTATTGCTTATTTCATTTTTTTTTATGATGCACTACTTTCGTCTAAAAGTATTCAACTTGTGATTCAATTTATTTCTCACTTTTCAATTGATCCAAAAGGTGGAATCTCCCACCTCAGGAGCCCTCACCCGATCCGACAGGATGGTGGAGAGATTAGTGACGGTGACTCAGTCAGCAGAATGACAGTAGGCTTATACACCTGTGCGCACCAGAGACACAGTCTTATTTCAGATTCTGTGACCTCCACCCGATCGCGATGGGGATTCGAACTTTGGTCTATTGATCCAAATCTCTCACCACTCGACCAACTGAGCTACCCGTGCGAGTATTCTCACTTTTCTATAAGCATATTCATTGTATCATGGATCACTATCATGATCCAAAATTGAATTAAAACAAAGCTCATCATTCCATCAACGAG